TTATGAGTTAAGCTTGATTCTACTCCATTATACACTAAAAGGAGAAGAAAAAGCAGCAGCTACTAATGTCATAGATGAGTGTTTTCACTTGTTATAAATTCCATTCACCATGAAGTGACAGGACAACACACACTTCCCAAAAATAAGTGCTTCTGCTCATCGCACTTCCTTTACTGAAGTGATTTCTATTTCTTTTGATTACATGTGAACACCAAAGCATAAAATATGGTAGCTTCAGTAACTTGAACTGCTCAATTCATTAACAGTCACATGCAAACTTCAACACTTAGCTGGTACTTAGGAGACCTACAGCTAGCAGGGCATCTAAAATCTGACAGTTAGGAAATTCCTTTTGAATTCCTCATGTACATTATTCTAACATTCATTCAGCAAGCCATCACATCATCCTTCTGTACATCAAGTTTTTAATCCAAAGTCACAGAACAAACCTTCAGTTTACGACCCTTCCTCTTCTCCAGAAATCTGGCCCAGGGAATTTATAAGCAGTTGCTATCTCCCATCTCTGCCATTATTAAGCCACAAAAGCCAGAGTACCTTAAGTCTTGGTCTCTCATGTAACTCCAGACTCTTCATACGGCATCATCTTTGTAGTCTGGATGTTCCTGTACACATTGCACTAGAATTTAATATTTTCTGTACATAAGTGCCCAGAACTATGTACAGTATTTGACATGAAGTCTCCCTAATACCTTGTCTATCTCCACTGAAGAGCTCTCACTGAGGATCACATTTGCTTCCATTTCACACACAGTATATCACATAAGAGTACCCCTGTCTGACTGTGGCAGTCAGGCCTTTTCCTCCACTCCTGTTTTAAGGGATGACCTGCCATCTGATAGCAGATTTGTTGTTAATAATCATTCAGTAGATAACTTTGCTTTTAGAGCTATTTAACTTCCTGTCATTCCTATTGCTTCAGTCATCACAGACATTCAGTTCTTCCTGTGCAGTAATCCAACTAACCTCAGTGCTGACTAGGTTTCCTAACTTATCCTCATCAGCTAAGTTAGCTAATTATCCTTTTCATACAGTTATCTCAGCCAGTATGGCAAACCAAAGAGACCAGCTCCCCACTAATACTGATCTAGATCAGTAATTCCTTTATTCACGCAGAGTCACAATTTCTCCTTCAGGAGACACCTCACCATTCTTCAGCCAAGCCTCGCATTTCCAGTTTAGTTATTTTCAGTGTCACGCCCGCCATGGTGTGTACACATAGAACTGAAGCCTCCTGCTCCTTTTGTCTACAACATTCAGTATTTAACCAGTAATAATAAGATTTTAGTCTTCCATGACCTAATTGTGGCAAATCCATGATGCATTTTATCCTGTTTTCCACTTATCTTTGTATACTTAAATACTTCTTCTGTTCCAAATTTGTTCTAAATCCTTGAATACTATTGAGACCAGAGTAAAAGGTGTAAAGATTTTGTTCTCTTCTCCTTTTAAAATAAACAGAACTATGTCTTTTGCTATCTTACTATCTCAACTGCTACATTCAACCTGATAGACAACAACCAATCCTGAGGGTTTTTTTAACCTGGCTCCAGTGTTCTGTGCCAACACTCGCAGACTCCCAAAACAGAGACCATTTGCTGACTTAGTCTGGATTCTGGAAGCAGGCGTAAGATGTTTATTCTGGTCATTTCCATGGATTTTTTATTTCTACCCTATCTTTCTTCTCTGTTCAAATCTTTATCCTTATCTAAAACTGGTTACAGTTGCTAATTTTAGAGGCAGCAGATACATTTTTCAACTATAGCCTGGTCCTCACAACAACAACATAGCCAAGTTCTCTTTTCCTCCTCCTTTTATAATTTTTCCCCTCTTCATCCTAAATTTCTTCATCCTCTAGCTTTTGGCAATTCAGATGCTATTCCTGCAGTTTCTGCTCTCCAACAGTCAATCTACTCCTTCACTTCATTCCTTTTAGGTTTTCTGGTAACTTGCAGTATCTTACTCTCACAGCAAGGTCCACAGCCCCTCTTGGCAAACTTTCTCTCCTCCTTAAAATGCAGTTTCCAAGCAGCAGTTGTACCTTCCATTTAAGACAGTCCAAGCCTTTTCTTTTTTTTTTTTTTTTTTTTTTTTTTTTTTAATTTTATTTAAACCTCCAACTCCTAGAGGTCTTCAACCCTGTGGACAAATCAAACAAACTAGTTCTTTTAACTTCTCAGAACGTGCCCTGCTAAAATGAAACTTCCTTGAAATAAAAACACTTTGTAGCTGACATATACTTACCCTTCAGTTTAATTCAAAATTAGGAGCTCTAATCTAGCAGTGGAAAGCAAGAAACATTGTCAGCCAGTGAGAGACCAGAGATGTTCCAGAATTTAAAGATACACTCTCTGGTTCTGGGGAGGCTGTAAACATGACCCTTCGTTTACTCTGCGTTCCATCACAATTAATGGCCAAAATCTACCCTATGATAATGCAGTGTACTGACTTCCAACTTAGTCAGCACTGGGAAATGTACTTACAAAAGCACATTTGAGAAACACCTTCCCTTTATACACTAGCACAGTATCTAAAAGCTGCTCTGTAGCTCCGAGCAACTCTAACAGGTTTGCAAGGCTACATTCTACAATTTGACTGAGTTTTGCCTCACTAAATCAAACTTAGCCCTCCAGATTTTGAAGCACAGCATGAAACTTTAACAGAAAACCATCTCCTTTCCAGTGGAAGACTGCACCTATATTAAGTGCCTCCAGTAACAATTCGAGATCTCCAGCATGCCTACCACAAGCCCATGAGGAGAAGGAAAGGAGGGTGCTTTTGGCCAAGTGCTACAGCAGGACACGTGAACTACTCTAGCAAAGTGACAGTGAATGGTCTCCACATGAATCTGGGAAACACTGCTGCCCTCTTAACTTCAGCTTGCGACATGATTTTCTTAACATGGATGCACTGGCATGAAGGCAGTCTGGGCCTTCTGTGCAACAGAGTGAACTTGCTGGCACAGGCAAGTGCAAGGCATCGAGGCAGTAAATCACACAAACCACCACATTCCTTCTATGCCTGCATCTCCACCGCGGTGCACAGGCACCTGCCTGCTGCCTCCTGAAACCCAGAGGGGAAACTCAGTGCCGCAGCATGAAATATCAACTGACGTGCTAAGTTACTAACCCACATAAAATGAGGGCCCTGAAAGGGCACACAGCTCATCAACTCCAACAGCCCCACACCATGGCAAGGGCTGCCCGCCGTCCCTGATGGTGGTCTCTGCACCCAGTTCCCTTGGCCACCGTCACCATTGTGCTCATCTCTCCAGGGAGCATCTTCACGCTGCTGGTGCCTTCTGCTCTCATGACCCGTCTCACCAGCTTAAGCCAAGCTTTGCAGCAGCGAGGTGGGTGTTTTGCCACCCTTCAAATTGGGGAGCATAGCACTGGATGCTTTGAAAAACCAATCCGTTGTTAGCACGAGGACGTAACACCCTACTTTTACTTCAGAAACGCTTAAAAGTGCTTTATCTTGTTAATTCTAGGTCAGTTGAGCACATGTGTGGTATGGATTACACTGACCTTTTTAGAGCTCCCAACATTTTTAAATAAGTAGGACACTTAACATCAGACACAAGCCAAGCTGCACACCTCCTGTACACCATGCACCGAGATCTGCCAGTAGGCTTTACATGCAGAACCAAGGAATAGTTACTTTATAAAGCCTGGTTAATATGGCACATTAGTACAAATGTGAAATAAATTATAAATGCCAAGTTTGACCCAGTACCATATTAAATCAATACAGGTATTTTCCAAAAAAATGCCTGTATTTGATGAACTAAAGTGACCTCTGCAAAGCCAACCAACAAATCAGTGGCAGATTTACAAACAGAGCAAGTATTTACAGCTGAGTGATAAAATGGTCTACATTAAAGATAAAAGCTGTCTTGCTGCTTACAAAACACAATAGCATTGTCATTTCAAACACAACTGAGACATTTCATCCTTAAATATCTGAACACAGCATCTGCAGACTTCAAACACAAGCAAGGATCAACACGCAAATGACCATAAAATTCAAGTTTAAAGAAATTAATGCTATGATTCACTGGAGATGTTAATTTGCCAATGACAGGTCTTTGAAAGTTTTAACCTTCCTCTCTGCACTACGAGCTGCCAAATACACTGGACCCTTGGACACAATTCCATTCTTTTCCTCCTTTTCACAGATGCCTTGTCTGAGAGAGGGAAGGAAGAAGAGAAGGAAAAAAAACCCAACATGTTTAAGTATATTACCTTTGGATCAGCCTCCTCCCCTCTCCTAGTTAAAGTTTTCTTGAGGTCAGATTAGCACTCTGAAAGGAGAGCAGGCGCCGGCAGGCCCCGTGGCAGGCGGTGCTGTGACAGATGCGGGGCAGACCCAGGGGAGGCAGCCATGTGTTCAGCCCCGCATCCCCCGAAAGGGCATCCCGGGAGGAAGTTCTCACTTCGCACCGACCCGGGCAAATAACTCGGAGGAGTTCAACGGCTATCGCTTCCAGCGGCTTTCTCCTGGGCCATATGTTTTCCCCTGACATTACCGAGGCATTTCAGAAGAGCCAAACCGCTCTACCGGCTCTGCCGCGGACCCGCTCGCCAGCTGGGGGTCGGAGCCGCCTCTCCCGGAGGCAGGGGAGAAGCCGGCCCGGCCGGCGAGGCACCCACCGCGACACACCCACCCACGGGCTGCTCTCAGTCCCCGGAGGGAGCTGCCCGCCCGCCGACCCCGCGGCGAGCAGGGCTGGGCAGGGCGGGCAGGGCTGGGCTGGGCGGCTCCTGCCGCAGCGCCCGGAGGGGGCGAGCCCCCGCCGTCCCCGGGGCAGCGCGGCGCCGCCAGCACCGCACCCCCGCCCGCGCTGCAGCCCCTTCGCCAGACGCCCGCCGGGGGTGGTAGTGGGGTCCCGCCCGCCCCCGCTCGCCCGGGGCCGCCCCCGGCCAGCGGGGCACCGCTGCGGGACGGCGCCGCGCTCAGCCCCGAGCCGACGCCGCACTCACCGTCCTGGCCAGCGCGGCGCGGGAGCCTCCGGAGAGGAGCGAGGCGAAGCCGCGGAGAAGCGCGAGGAGCCCGAGCCGAGAAAGCCGCCCGCCGCCGCGAGGAGGAGGCGGAGGGGGCGGGGGATCGGCGGTGGAGGGGCGGGAACGGGGCGCGGAGGCCGGACCGAGCTGTTCGCAGGCCGCCCGCCCGCCGCGCTGCCGGCGCTTCCTCTCGGCCGCCGCCGGGCCGGGCTGGCGGGGCGGGGAGCCCGGGGCGGGGAGCTCCGAGCGGGCGGGATCGCCCCTTCTCCTGCCCGCGCCGCACAAAGGGGACCCGCCGCTGCCGCCTTTGTTCGGCCGAGCGGCGCCGGCAAGGGAGGGCGGCGGGTGGCAGGCTGGACGCTTCTCCCATACGAAGGTTGTTCCTCCGCCACGGGCAGACACGGAGTAACTTCACCGAAGTTAATTTAGGTCTGTGATGAAAACCTCTTCACCTGTGCCAAGCGCTGCTCGGCATCCAGCACTGAAGTCAGCCTACGCGCCGTGCTTCAGCTGCCTGTTTATGCCTCAGGAGCTGACTCCTGTTAAATTAAGGGTGGGTGTTTTATTGCTCAGGGTAGATGGGATCGCGAAGACTGGTTTCTTAGCATTCTGTCCTTGGCAGCCACCAAGAACTACTGAAAAACGAGTTTCAGATGCACCTTTACCCCGTTATCTGTGGTAGGTCACAGATCTTCTTTCAAACGTTGCTACTCATTTGCCTATTGTTCTACGTGTCCAGTTGCTCACTGACCATTGAGGTACCTTTAAAAGCACTTTTTTTTTTTTTTGGTCATAGTGCTCTAATGCTCATTCTATAAACTTCTCCCAACCTTATCGATTTCAGACCTTCAGTTCAGGTACTTGAGGTCAACACATGCAGCCCTGTCATGCCAGTTAAAAGGATAGAGGGAGGAGAATTTCCCCTCATTCACTTAAAGAGACTGAGAGACTTAAAAACGGTAAGTATGATGCCTTCTCTGAAGGGTAGTTAGATTTCAGCCATTTGCATAGAGGTGGAATGAGCAAAACGACTCATTACTGTATGTTAACAAAGGACATTTTAAGAAGGCAGTAACAAAACTAGACTACTCTAGGGTTGTTAAGACCAGGTATAAACTTGATAAGCTCTCTAACTGAGCAGCCCTCCTTAAAAGCTCTTTCCCTGTCACGTTCATTAAGCCCCAGCAGTTAAAAGATCCCACCCTGGACCCCTTACTGTTTGCCCAGAGCTCAGCTTCCCAGACAGAGCGGTAGTGTAGCACTGATCCTTTGGTGCTAAGCCAGCTCCTCAAGTGTAGTACTAGACCAAGTTGCTTTTTTGTGCTCCAAAGAAGCAGTTTGTCAGTTCCCCTACCTATTGCCTAGAAATTTTCTGTGTGGTCCATGAGATGCCCGTGGAAAGATACAGGTAACGTGAGGAAGGAGGGGAATGTGCAGCATGTGAGCTGTTCCACATCATCAAGGACCTGCTTCCTAGACATGGTAACATGGCAGCTTTAGAGAAAGAGAATCAAAAGTATGTGACTTTAAACCTTTATTCCTGTAGCTGGGGGAGGGGGAGGAAATAAATTTTTTGTTTTGCCTTAAAATTAAAAAAGGATATGGTTTGGGGTAAAAAGTCTGAAAATATAAAACAATGTAATAACCATGGAGAAGCCATCAGGCAGCCTTAAGTAAAGCCAGTGTGCTAGAGCTACATCATACATGCGAGGTACTATTGAGATCTGCTTGCTGCATTATGCACTAGGGACAGAAGCCAACCATCAGCCCTGTAGCTTCTGCTGAACAAACGCCCTGCCCACACGAAAGGTACTTAATTTGTTCAATACACAGGCACCCCACCTCATGTGACCAACTTTTACTGGGCATGCATTCTTTATTCTTTAGGCTGGATGTCTGTAGTAGGGAAGGAGTAGGCAAATGCATTTGTAATGTAAAACTAGATAACTTGTTCTGGCCAGAAAATTTCTCAATTCCTAGCCAAAAGAGAGGCTTGTCAATATTTTAACTTTAGATCAATGTACAAACGTTTGCTAAAGCCTAGGTATAATTATAGTGGTTCTGTTGTACCTTTAGTGACAAAACAAGGACTATGGAGTTGTGTCTTACAGTACTACCTGGTAAGTTTTTCACATCCAGGCATCACATGATGGATAGCTTTATTAAATTATGCCACACTGTGCAGCTGCTCCCTCTGGGAAGAAGTATGGAATAATACAATTAAAGTCTCACCTTTTAATTTTAATATAAGTACTAAAATATGATCTTTGCTCTCACCATCAAGACAAGTGACAACCCAGCCTCTGCCTCAGACAGAAGACCAACCCATTGAAGCAGTGGTGAGAGATCTTCCCACTGCAAGACAAGTTACAACCAAGAGCTCATCATACACATCCATGGACTTCATCGTGTTCCATATCCCTCTAATGTAACCAGCACCCTGGCCTTAGGATGATATTTAGGGGTACCTTGCATGATTATCCTTGTACACAAATATATGCATTTTGAGATACTGATTTCTAAATAAATAAGCATATAAACTCCTGATTTATAAATAATATCTAAAGTAAGAAACTAATTTTATAAACATGGTTATACCTGATTAAAGTCCTCTGACTCAATAAGACTGCTCAATGGGAGTAAAAAATGTGCATAAGAAATTGTGTTGTCTGGAACTAGGTTAAGAACTTCTGGAAATGAATATAAAACTATTGCATTCAAGACTGATTTCTTCTTTATGCTTTCCAAAAAACATTATTATCAAATGCATTAATCTTGTCAGTCCATTAAAATATTTCACAACTTTTAAAAGGTTTTGAGATTAAAAAAATTAACCCCCCACCTATTGATAATAACTGTCTTTCTAAATCCATATTCTTATAAGACCTAATCAATAGGTTTACTCAGAAACAGCTGACACCACTTAAAACTGTGTTAATTAACACAGATTCTCAAGGTCCAGTTCGAATGGAGACAAGCTCTGTCCGCCTTTGACAGAGCCTCATTATTGTTCACGCTACTCGAATCTGCCATTAACAGTAAGTCTCCATCTCACAGCTGCTGCTAAACCTGTGGTCTGCTTGCATTCAAAGAGGATTTCAGTTGTATTTTGGCATGGCATATGCTATTCAGAATATCACCTGTAACTGTGAGTAAGAATGACTGAGCTGGTTAGCTCTAAAATCCTGTCTGTGGAAAGTTTGGGCTTTGCATACGTTCTCCTTATGTAAACTTATGTGTAAGGATTTAAAAATGCAGACCGTTGCCTGTATTACTGTGGCACTCAGATTGAATTAGGCACAGCAACTCAAATGCTAAGTGGTGTAGCCTTTGTCCCTGCCCCTACACCTTAGGATGTATTTAGTTCTGAGGCCCTCCAGTCAGCTGACCAGGAGGTGTGAACTGGGATCAACAACAAGCTCAACAGACCAAGCTGTAACCTGCACCATCACCTACATCTGGTAGTGTACTCAACCTTGGTTAAATCCATTAGTGAGGCATGTGCATCATTTCGGATGGTCAACCTGGTCTGCCTTCTCAGCCTATCCAGCCATCACCTCAGCTATGCCTGCCGAGGTGGAGATGAGATGGCTGGAAGTAAGCACCACTTTAGCCATCAGCTGGATCAGTCCGTACCTGCACATTACTGAGCTGCATGAACACACTGAACAAAGCTCAGTGAGCAGTATTTCACAAAAAACTGGCTGAGTTCTCCATTCCTACCCTTCATGTATATCCATCTGCTTGCACAAGCTCTGTAGTCTTTGTGCACTGGACAGTATTATGTAAGTTTGGGTTGTTTTTTTTTACTTTAATCATAAGCTTTGTAGAAAATGTGTAAGCAGTGTGTTAGTAGAGGCTGTAAATGGTGCAGGTATTTAGAAATGCTGGGAAAAGTACTTTCTCATTATTGTTTGAAGCAGGGGACTGATGACAAAGGAGAAGTGTTAGTCATGCTAACCCATTCTTCTGGTGGTCAATAGTGTGGTGAAAAAAATCAGAAACACCCTTCTCAGCTCCCTGAAGGTCTCGGCACTACTTAGAATGGTTTGTGCAAGAGACCCTTGTGTAAGAGACCCTTAAGATAATCTAGTTCCAGTCACTCTGCCATTAGCAGGGACACCTTCTACGAGAGCAGGTTGTTCAGAGCCCAGTCCAGTCTGGTCTTGAAACTTCAAGGGATGTTCCAGTGCCTCACCACGTTCATAGTGAAGAATTTCTTTGTTATCTAATCTAAACCTACCCTCTTTCAGTTTAAAGCCATTACTCTTGTCCTATCTTTAGGTCTTAGGAGGCCTTACTTATGAGATTGTTACAGCTGTTTATTTTCCAGTTTCGGAAGGCGTGTGGAGGAAATCCTAGCCAAAATTAAGGAACTGAAAGGTGTGAGGCCACAACTACATCACTTGACATCTTGCCTCAACCCATGCAGTAAGAGAAATAAAGACACGTCTGCCCTTTTTTCCTACATACACCTACTTAGAGAACACAAACCCATTAAAGCTGAGCCAGACAGTTATCAGTTCTTTAATTAGCTTGTCCTTTTAAGTGTCCCAGGAAGATTATTATAAGAAATACCATATGATTGCCCAAGAACAAACGAGATATGCTTTTAAACACCCTTTATTACTAACATTGCATAAGCATTCCAACAATCAAATCTAACAGTTTGTTATCATAGTTCCAATCCCTTTGGCTTAGCAGCAGCAAAATGAATACCATGTCATATCTCTTCTCAGCAAATAGCTGCCTGCCTTTGTAAACAAAACTGTCAAGACTGATTCTCCATACACATTTGCAAATTATACCCATTGGTTATGTGTCTTGCGGCATATTTAGTGTGCTGCCAAGGGAATGCTACCCTCACATTAGTTTTTTTATGTTACCAACACCATAATATCATCAGGGAAAAATTGTAGGTACCTTGCAAACTGTGGTTTAAATTCACAAATGTCTCCTACAGAACCCTGATGACAAACATACTTATTAACTAGTTAAAACCATTCAAACCTAGCAGGTAAATGCACTTCAAGGGTGATTGCTTGATTACTCCAATAAACAAGAATCATGCAACCTTATA